TATTAGTGGCAGCTGGCAAACAATGCTTGCATGCACACTGTGAGCAGCGCATGCGCCAGGTGAAGCTCCAGATCAACCGCATGCCAATCCAGGCATGCATATATGCACCCAAAATTGAGGGTGTGCGGGTTCCAAAGCGAAACCAGGGGTGCAGATGTGGCAGTGAAGAGTGTGGAACTATGCAGGACACGTGCATCAAGACATGTCGGAGGAAACCTGCACAGCCGCGCCCCCCGTCAACGGGCCAGCAAAGGCTTGCAAACCGTCCAAGCGCCCCACGTCGCAACCTCCCGCAGCGTGCTGAGCCAGCTCATGCGTTGCAGCCTGCGTGGAGTCACGCCGAGGCCGCTGAGAAACAGGCAGCCGCACCCGCTTAGGGCTTGGCAGCTCGGCAGCCAAGACGAGCTCGCAACCCCCTCCTCCGTCCAACCTCCGAAACTTGAGCACATCCGAGGGCACAGAGCACAGTGCATCATGCATCAGGGTGGTCAGGGAGTCCAGGTCTGGGAACATGTGCTGGATGCAAATTGTTCGCCCTGACCCGTCCCGCTGCCCTTGCGTGTAGAAGGCTGCAAACACCGTCTGCATGTCAGTCAACACGCTCAGCACCGGCACGTTGGAGTCAAGGCTTGCACAGATCCATGTGGTCTTGGCCTGCCGTATGCTTTGCTGCACCACCTTCTTCTGCAGCTCCACAGTTGCCACCACTGCACCTCGCATTTCAACCGCCGCACGACGAACGACCACAAGCGCATCTGGCCTACAGGCGATGCTGAAGGGCAGCTCGGCGCCACCTGTGCAGGGGCGCACCTTCAGCACCTGGCTCCCGTCCAAGTGGGCGCTCCACGTCAAGTGCCCAGGCAGCCGCACCTGACAGCGTTGGTGGCGGGCAAGGTTTGCCTCGCATCAGTGCTCAGGCAGCTCCAACGTTAACACCAGCATAACAGAGCTTGTGGCAGAGTTCATCCACTGGTAATGAGCGCCGCCTGGAATGTGCATTCGCAGCTGATGAACAGCCGCAAGCAATCATCGGATGATCGGCGCATGGAGTCGCGGAGCCGCATTTCCACAGCGCTGGGGGTGGATGGCATTGCCTCGTTGAGTGGTGAGTCGATTGCAGAACACTGATTGTATGACTTACTGGAATGAAATTGGTCTTGTTCAGGCAACGGGCCTGCCTAATCATGTGACTACCGCCCAAGATGGCTGCACTGATGCAGTGCAGCATGTCTGAGCGCAGTTGCTGACCTGCAGAAACAACTATCAGGCGACATTTTCAAAAACATGGCCCCAAGTTTTGAACACGTCACCGGAGTTTATGGATATTGAAGGCGTCGGAAATAAGTTGTTTACCACGGTCAGAAACCAGAAGTGCATAATCCCCTTGAAAACATCCTGCAGGAGATCTGCGACGACCCACCTTATCCTTCAGCATCTGCATGTATTCCTCCGTTTGCTTGGCCTCGAGCTTGTTCTCGCCCCACTGGTGCTCTGTCGGATCTGTGAGGTTTGTGATGGCCTCTGCTCCCAGGTCGTCCTCGCCGGCGATTGCCCACCAGATCTTAAGGGAGCCTTCCACCTGAGGAAAGTCAGCAAGCAGGGAATCGACACGATGGATTCCCTGCAATTGGAGCCCATTCTGTTCAGGTGCATTTGCACGAAGCATGATGAGCGAGGCACCAGTCGGCAGCAGGTCAGAAAATGTAGTGCCCTTTGGCAAGCAGAGTATGCAGAATCCAAGTCTGCGTGCCTGCTCCCTACAGCTCAGACCAAGCATGCATGCATGTGCTGTTTTGCTCCGAAGCACCTGCACCAGGTCTTCCAAGGTGATGGACGAGGCGTGGCGCAGAGCATTCCTGGCCCTGAGCAGCAGGGCCATCAATTTCTCCGCCTTCTCGGAGACATACTCCAGGATGGCAATCAAGCCGGCAGTGTCTGCAGCAACACAGCAGTGGCGGGTTGTAGCGAGTCAGGTGCCCGGGGTGCCTTCCGCGGTGGCCCATGGTGTCCAAGGGCAAAATTGACAGGCAGACTCCCCCACTCCAAGTGCCGCCGGCGACATGTCAGCGGCTGCCCCAGCGGCGACCACCTCCAAATGCGTTGGAGCTTCACGGCGTCTTGTTGCGTAAACACGCTGCGCATATGCTGCACCAGGTCATCGGAACACAAACAAACTCCGCCCACCCCGATGGACAGCTGCCATGATGGCTCCCCTCCTGTCCTCCTCCGCCAGGTCTAACAGAGCAGCAGCAACGCCGTCATCCAACTGGTTGACTTCCAGAGCCGCCTTGTCGAAAAAGTCGGGATCCTTGTCAGGAAAGAGCCCAGGCAGCGCCAGCACCAGCTGATGCCTTGAAGTTGTCGGCGAAGCCATGGTGACTGGGCCAAGCCTGCGCACGCTACCTTGAGCAACCTGTGGCAAGCAGGACACATGTGCATGAATGATTGACCTGGCATTGTAACCAGCATGGCGATGAAGCCAGCATCAAGCTCAGGGCAGCACTGCACCTCTCAGCAGGCACTCAGTGCAGTTGGCCGTCGTGCACTGGTTGTGCGTCAGCTATGCCAAGCAAGGCCCCCAGCCAGCGCAAGCGCGTGGCAACAACTACCAGGCACCCCTTAAGCCCCTCCCGAGAAGGCTGCAGGGCAGTGTTTCACGGATGAACGGACGGGGTTGCTGCCCTCGAAGACCCAGCCGGCACGGGTACCTGGTGTAGATAGCACCTAAAGCTACGAGCGCGGATGATGTGCCAAGATTGAGCGAAGAGGCTGCCGAAGTGCGGTGGAGGTGTTCGAGATCATGAGAATGGGTTACGTAACAACGTAAGTGCGCACCCAAGTTATTTCCTTTGTTACTAGAGTCTTATGATACTATCACCATCGAAAATTAAGCGGAGTAAATGCGGCGTGAAGGCAACCAGCTGGAAAGACATTGCTGGAGTGGTGCAAGCTGGGTGCGACACAGGTGGGCGTTGGAGCTGCAGCTGCTACAGAGCGGCAGGGCGCGTCATATCCTTGGAGGAGAGCTCCCAGAATGCAAGCGCGGGCCGAGTAAAAGATAAAGACAAGCCTTAAGCATACATGCCATCAACGAACACCGACAATCAGGACATCTCTTTTTGATATGCGCACACATGCGCACACACACGCACGCACGTGTCAGGATCGTGACCATGACCGACAGGGCATTTGTGATCATGGCTAAGACAATCACAGACCTTGCAAAGCTCAGATGGTTCATCCAGTTGGGGGCCGAGTGCGACCTCTCGCTGCACGGGGTTGACCATGCATGTCTATCCACTACCTGTTGATGCTTGCCATGATTGTTGACCATTCAAATCTGCCTTGTAAGAAGGAATCCTGCGATTCCTCATCATCATACTTTCATCACCATTAATGATCTTGTGCTGCATATAGTAGAGTGTTGCATGCGGAGGTATGGGCGTGCACATTCCACTTGGCTGCATGCAAGGCCCAATTGTGTGCAGCGGTGTTCTACCAGCAAAGCACTTGCTGGTAGAACATATTGCTTACATGGCAAAGGACTTGGACAACCGACTTCAGCTGACTGGTATCAAACACTGTGGCACTCCTGGAAAAATGACGTTGTCACCTCCACTGAGAATAATGCTGTTCGTTACACTTGCACCTTGTTTGCAAACACAGTGGCCAACAATGCTATACAGCCGCTAGCCACTGATTGCGCAGCACTCTCAAGGGACTCCTCGATGGCACTGACCCTCTCCTGCAGGCTGCGCTTTTGCTCAAACTTTTCCTTGAGGGCATTCACCCCACACAGATGCAGGCCCACCAACTCGCCATGGTACATCACCAAAGCCCCTCCTGAGTCGCCAGGCCATGTGTCAGAGCTGTACACCAAGTGGTGCTGCTGTCGGCTGAGCTTCACACCAGTTGCAGGCAGCACCGCGACGCCGCTGTGACTCCAGTCTGGGAGGTCCTCGAGTACGCCCAGCTGGAAGGCACACATGGCTAGCTGCTTGCCCACAAGAGTGAAAGAGGGGTCGCTGTAAAGTGGCAAGTGCGCGTTGAACTCGCCATCAGTGGCGAGCACAGCGTAGTCCAGCTCCTGATCCTTCACCTCCACTACCAACCGCAGCATCTCCTCCGACCCGGGAAAGAAAACCCTCACCGAGTTGCCAACCTCCAGCCCAACGAGGTTGTGCGCGGCTGTGACAGCTTTCTGTGCACTCACACACACGCCCAGCCCAGCAAACTTCCTGCCGTGAATGCTGCGCCTGTCACTGCTGCTGGTGCTCATCCCAGGCTCTGCTGTCTTGATCTCTGTCAGGAAAATAGAGCTTCTCATCAGCTGCGGTGCGTCCACCGAAATTATCCGTCCGCCTGCGGACGACGGGTACAGCAGCATGGCAACCAAGGAGCGGACGTGGAGCGCAACACAACCCAGCAAAGCCCAGCAACAAGACAGTGGGATGAGGTGCTGGTACGGGGGGACAACATGGGCCCCTGTGCGGCCAGCAGAGCAGGTCGGCTGGAGAGCCGCAAGGGTAAAAGTAGCAGTAGAGTCGCATATCAAAGGGCTACCTCCTGCTGTGCACAGGCGGACATGATGCAAGCAAGCTATGCATAGATCTGCTGCCAAAAACTCGCATGTGGCTGCGTTCCGCTTGCACGCATGGTACACGGGCTGACTCCAGACTCTGATGCATGCAACGTCTAGTGCGCAAGCGCATGCATGGAACACGCGGGGCACAGCAAAAAAAGCTGCTTGGATTGCAATGCGACTCACTTGTCGAAGTCAGCTTTGCCACTTGGTCAGCCAGTGCCTCGATCTTTTTCACCAGGTCACCTGGTAAAAACCGGATACAGAGCAAGCATGTTGGTAGTGTAGCAAGCAGGACACAAAACCAGGCTCTTGACAGCTGAGCTTGAACACGCTGCCCGTTTGCCACACGGGGTCATCAGAACACAAAGAACCTTGCCCACCCCGATGGACAGCTGCCTCGATGGCCGCCCTCCTGTCCTCCTCCGGCAGATCCAGCAGACCAGCAGCCACGTCGCTTTGCATCTGGGCAATTTCCAGAAACGCCTTGCCGCGAAACTCGGGATCTTTGTCGGGGAAGAGCCCAGGCAGCGCCCGCACAAGCAGTTGCCTTGCAGTCGGCGAGGCCATGGTGACTGGGCCAAGCCTGCGCACGCTATCTCCCTTGAGCAACCTGTGGCAGGCAGCACACGTGTGCATGAATGATTGACCTGGCATTGAAACCAGCATGGCGTTCAAGCCAGCATCAGGCTCAGGGCAGCACTGCACCTCTCAGAAGGCACTCAGTGCAGCTGGCCGTCGTGCACTGGTTATGCGCCAGCTATGTCAAGCAAGGTCCACAGCCAGCGCACATGCCTGGCAAAAACTAGGCGTCCCTCAGCCCCCTGCCGAGAAGGCTGCAGCGCAGCACACCGACAGGATGCGCCAGGACGAGCTGCTCCAAGGTTCGAGGGGCCCCAGCCCTCGCAGACCCAGCCGGCACGGATACCTGGTCTAGATAATAACTACAGCTACAAACGCGAAGGACGTGTCTGCATTCAGCGAAGAGGCTGCCGAAGTGCAGTCGACGTGTTCAATATACCGCGAGGGGATGGGTTGTGCGCACCCAAGTATTGCTCCTTTACTAGTACTATCACCACTGGAAAGCAAGCGGAGTAAACGCGGCGAGAAGGCAACCAGTTGGAAAGACACTGTGAGAGTGGTTTGAGCTGGGTGCAAGACTGCGCCCTGCAGCTGCGGCTGCTGCTGCAACGGCAGGGCTCGCCATTTCCTTGGAGGAGAGCCAGAACGCAAGCGCGGGCTCAGCAGAAATTACCCAGCCAGTCAAGGTTGCAGGACTCAGGGTGTTTTGGTGATGTGCAGGCAGTTGCGAGCGTTTGCTGTGCTGTGTTGCGGCAGCGGTGTTCAGTGCTGAGTCATGCCGGTCCGATTGGCTGTCCTCGGCATCCCTTTGTTGTGCATCTTTCGTCATGTGTTGCACACAGATGTTTCACCTCCTGCACATTTCCCAGGCACAAGCCATGTGACGGTTTTTTTGGCGCCCCACCGACGACCCCCCCATGGCAGGCCACGGCCTGGACCAGTCGTGCATACAGCCCCTGCCTCCAGGCGGTGGCGTTGGCCACCACCTTGCCCTCCCAAACAAATCTTGTGCACATTCCTCCCCGCCTGGCCGTGTCTGCTGGGCCATTTGCGCATCCACTGCTTGAGCGCCCTTCAGCGGCGGCTCCCTTGATGAGCGACATCCTGTAATGCAAGGGGGCTGCTGAATTGCCAGCTTACAAGACATGAAGAGATAGCACAAGCTAATGCCAGTGCACAAAACACCCCTGGGATTTGTGACGCTTCCCAGGGGTGGTGCATCGGCACGAGTGCGCTATGGTGGCAGTTGGTCAGGAGCCGCATTTTCCAGCTGCAGCCATCAAAGCACCAGTAAACACCAGGCGCAACACAACACCTGCGCAACGCCGCCCCTCCAACAGCACGGGATTCTGTGCTGCTGTGGTGAGACGAGGCAGCCTGTGCGGCGCCCCTGCCGCTAGCTTCATGTATGTTGGGGGAGCTGATGCCCGGTTGCCCCAGCAACACCCCGCGGCTGCCGGCGGTGCTGACAACGCCGACATCGCCGCCCAAAGCTTTGCTGTGTTTCATCTGCTAGGTTTACCGGCTGCGGCAAAGATCTCCACATCTGGAAAGCCCCCGCGCCTTTCACATTTCAACCGCCCTGCGCTTCTGCGCCGCCACGGAGGCTCTGGCTGCTGCTGCAGAGGTCCCATGCAGTCGCATGCCCCGGTGCCCCTGTGACGCCCGGCGCCTCCACTGCTGCCAGTGCTGCTGACGAGGGGCACGGCAAATACCACAGGCACCCGCCGGCCCCCCTCCCTCGCTGCATCGAGCACGCCCGCCTGGCTGCCAGCGGTGCCTTCCTGCGTACCGCCGCCGCAGCAGGCGCTCGCAAGGTGCGCAAAGCGCTGTGCGAAGCGGGCGCCCCCTTCGGCAAGCTCGGCGCGGCTGAGGCGTGGCTGCACTCTGCGCAGGGCCTTGTGGTGCGCCTTCATGGAGCTCTGGGCCCGGGAACAAGGATTGCAGCCAGGTATGCATTGACCCAGGAGATAGTTGGTCTCGGTCACCTCTGCCTTGGCGCGCCGCCCGCAGCCTGAGCTGTGACCCACCCAACTGCTGGTTGCGCCTGCACGCATCCCCCACCTCATCTCCACCTCTCCCTGTGCCTTTCGCCACTCTGCCTGCCACTCCTTGATCTGGGTCGTGAGCTTCAGCGCCCTGGCTGCCCTGGCAGGCTCGGCACCTCGAGCCCCCCCTTTGTGCCGCTTTTCCCACGGCCGGTGCCGCTGGTCGCGCTGCCCCCGCGCCGCCACCGGCTCGAGGACGGAGCTCGGCACATCCGCAGCAGGCGCTTGGTTTTGTGGGCGCGCGCTCGCGGGACCGTCGCAGTGATGCTCGTGTGCAGGGGCTGTTGGAGGGGGCGTCGTCGCGCCGCTGTGCATCGTCGGGCGGGCGCTGGTCGATGACAATTCTGTGCAGCATCGTCGGCTACCCCTCATAAGCTCCTCCTTATCCTGCTGCTGCTGCTGCTGCTGCTGCTGCTGCTGCTGCTGCTGCTGCTGCTGCTGCTGCTGCTGCTGCTGCTGCTGCTGCTGCTGTTGGTGGTGGTGCTCCTGCGCATGCCCTGGCTTCTGCCCGCCATCAGCGTGCGCACTCCCAGCTTTTGAAATTCAGCCTCCATGTCTGCCAGGGCCGCCTGTTGTTTCTCCAGCCAGCCAGGTTCAATGTGCTTGCACCGGTCAAGCTGCCGCCGCCTGCCAGCACTGCCACCTCCGCCTGCTGCACCAGTCGGATCATGGCTGCAGGCCGTGCCGACATCGGCGCCAGCGCCGCGGCTGCCGCCGCTGCCTCCGTTGCTGCAGAACGGGCCGCTGGTAAGATGGAACTGGCTTTGAAGGTCACCTGTCGCTGCGCTTTCTGCGGCCGCATCATCTAGCTGCTCATGTGCAGCAGCATGTGCGCCATTTACGGGGCGTGCGCCCGGCGCCTTGGCGTCCGCGCCCACGTCTGCAAATGTTCCACGCGCGTTGCCGTGCACCTGAGTGCATGCGGCTGGCAGCTGAGAATTGAACGTGTGTGCAGATTTTTGCCCTTGGTGTTGAGCTCGGTTGTGT